GCTGGAGGAGGGCGAGCGATTGTCGCCTCACCGCACAGGCTCCACAGGAAATGAATGGAGAGAGAGCGACGTCGCCTCCCGTGTGTCGAGCCCTTCAGAGTGTTAAAAGAAAATAAAATCCTGTATCTGCATCGTGATCCAGAACATCACCAAAATTTAAAGGTGTGTTCCTTGGTCCAGTACCMACATGTGGTAAAAATGTCATGACAATCTGTACACAAGTTTTTGAGTAATGTTGTCCACAGACAGAACGACACAACTGAAAACATTACCTCGCCCTTGGCGGAGGTAATTATGCACATTCAAATTCAATTCCTGCTGGTTCAAGATTTATCACATATGGAAACCTCATATAATTTACTTAAGAGCAAAAATGGCAAAATTTTTCGCAGTTTGTATAAAGTTAAGGAGTTGATGATAACGCACTGTTTATATTACATAATGCAATAATTGTTCCACATTTGATTTATTGTATAGAAGTCTGTGGAAATGCATGTAAAAACATTACGAATCCTATTTTTATTTTACAAAAAAGATTCATAAGAATTATTACAAGAAAGCATAACTATCACCCTTCTAATTTATTGTTTCATCAATTAAAATAGTTAAAATTTGATGAGTGGTTGATTATAACATTCTGCAGGTTATGTATAAAGCTCATAAAAATGTGTTGCCTTCAAACATCCAATCACATTTTGTTAAGAGGGAAAACTGTTATAATCTGAAGGGATTACAAATGTTTGTTAAAGTGAAAATCCAAACAAATCTGAAGGACAGATGCAGTTCAGTAAAAGGTATAAAACTATGGAATAATCTGGAAAATGACTATAAAAGCATCGGATCAATTAATGCCTTTAAAAAATGATCAAAGCAAAATTGTTAAAGAAATTTGAAATTGTTTAATTTGTATTTGTATGAGTTACTGTTTGAAGAGTTGAATTTTTTGCTTTGTTTTATTATTTGGTTTCTTATTGTTTGAAATTAATAAAAAAATTGTAAATAGGAGCAGAAATAAGACTTTATTTTGATAAGATAAGATAAAACTTTATTGATCCCACAGTGGGGAAATTTGCACATTACAGCAGCTCAAAACAGGACAGGGTGAGATAGAATAAAGAAAGATAAGTAAAAGAAACAAAAAACACTATACTCATTATATATAACAATGTACAAATACCTAGTACAGTACATAAATGAACGTGTATGAAGGTGTATATTACTGATGGCAGTGTAGGTGAATTCTTCAAGTGACTGATGACATCGTGATGTGTTGTACAGTCTGACTGATGACATCATGATGTGTTATACAGTCTGACTGATGACATCGTGATGTGTCATACAGTCTAACTGATGACATCGTGATGTGTCATACAGTCTAACTGATGACATCGTGATGTGTCATACAGTCTGACTGATGACATCGTGATGTGTTATACAGTCTAACTGATGACATCATGATGTGTCGTACAGTCTGACTGATGACATCGTGATGTGTCGTACAGTCTGACTGATGACATCGTGATGTGTCGTACAGTCTGACTGATGACATCGTGATGTGTCGTACAGTCTGACTGATGACATTGTGATGTGTCGT